GACTCTCCCTCCTGCCAACCCCCCTCCTACGTTATATATTGAGGAGGGAAAAAATAGCATTTTTGGAGCAAATTGAGATAGGTTTACCATTGGGGGACGCCGAATGGTGCTGCATCATTGATGACCAACAGATTACTTGTACTCTTTTTTTCGTTTGTTTGATTTAACGAGGTGGTTTGATATAATGATGGTGGTTGATACAACGAGGTGAGTTGATCTAACGAGGTGGGCTGATATAACGAGGGTGATTTATATAACAAGGATGGTTGATATAACGAGGTGAGTTGATCTAACGAGGTGGGCTGATATAACGAGGGTGATTATATAACGAGGATGGTTGATCTAACGAGGTGGGTTGACATATCAAGACTGGTTCATAATTATATTGAGGCTGGTTTACATAACGAAGTAGGTTGATATAACAAGGTGGGTTAAGTAACGAAGATGGTTGATTAACGAGGTGGTTTGATATAAGAGGTAGGTTGATATAACGAGGTGGTTTGATATAATGAGGTATGTTGATTAACGAGGTGGTTTGATATAATGAGGTAGGTTGATATAATGAGGTGGTTTGATATAATGAGGTATGTTGATTAACGAGGTGGTTTGATATAATGAGGTAGGTTGATATAATGAGATGGGTAATAAATAACAACATTGAAAAACCAAAATCTCAACAAAAACACAAAATAATCCTAAAAACAACAATTACAGTAAACAATAAAACAAAAAGTAACACAAACACTAAAACACAACACAAACACAATAAAACACAACACAAACACAATAAAACACAACACTAAGCCGCAACACCAAACTGATAAGGTAAGCTGAGATGCACAAACACACGGCACTGAGCGCAACGCAGGCCTTTGGGACGCACTAGGCCGCGGCCTGGGCGCAGTGGAGCCGCAGCACAGAGCGCAGTAAAGATGCGCACCAGGCGCGATGGTACAACGCAGGCAGGCGCACGTAGTGCAACTGGAAGCGCAGTAAGGTACGGCGCGGCACCAGAGCGCGACAGCACAGAGCGCGATAAAGGCACAGCCAAACGCGACTGAAGAGCCGTAAAGGCCCAGCACCAGACGCAGTAAGATGCGAGCTGGGCGCAGTAGGTGCGGCGCAGGCGCAGTGGGGCCGCACCTGGCTACGGTAAAGGGCAGCGCAGGCGCTAAGATGAGCGCGAGCACCAGGCGCAGTGCGGCCTGGGCACTGGGGCGCAGCCTGGGGCGCGATGAGCCTGGCGAGGGCGCAGTGGGGCGCAGGCACTGGGAGGCGCACAAAGGAGCTGGCAGAGCGCTGTGAAGGGCCCGGCCTGGGCCGCGATAAAGCCTGGGCGGTGAATTAACAGCCTGGAGCGCAGTGGGCCTGGCCTGGGCCTGATGGGCCGCGAATCAGGCGCTAAAAGAGCCGCAGCACCAGGCCTGATAAGTGCGGCTGGGCCGCAGTAAGGCACAGCCTGAGCGCAGTGGGCACTGACGCAAGGGCCGCAAGCACAGGCCGCAGTAAGACCCAGCACAGACACAGATGCCACTGAGCACACCAGGCCGCAGCACCAGGCACCAGTAAGACAAGCACACAGCAAGCAGGCACATTTAAAGTGCCCCACTGATGCACCACAGGCGCAGTAAAGGGCCAACACCAGGCACCCAGTAAGATGCCCAACAGCAAAAGAGCACAGCACAGAGCGCAGTAAGGCGCAACCCTGGAGCACAGTAAAGAGCGCAACCTGAGCCTGATAAAAGACTAAGAGCCACAGCTGGACACTAAAACCTGGCCTGAGCCTGATAAAGGCCAGCAAAGAGCAGTAAATGCGGCCTGGGCACTGAGAGCCAGCCCTGGAGCACAGTAACCACAGCACAAGCGCAGTGACGCAATGATGCCAAGCACAAGAGCACTAGATGCAGCCTGAGCACACAAAACACAACACACACAGTAAAACCTGACACAAGCTGATAAAAGACACCAGCCTGAGCACATTATAAAACACAACACAAACGCAATAAAGGCCAACACAAACTGATAAGATACCCAGCACAAGCACTAAAAAACACAACACAAACACAATAAACACAACACAAACAATGATAAAACACCAGCACAACTGATAAAGTGAATTACAAACTGTGTTGACACATGATAATGCCAGCACAAACACTAAAAACCACAACACAAGCACAATAAAACACAACACCAAGCACAATAAAACACAACACCAAACACAATAAAACCTGCACTGAAACTGATAAAGCACAAGCACAAACACTAAAAACACAACACAAACACCAATAAACCCAACACAAACGCAATAAATGCAACAAAAACGCTAAAGGCCCGCAGCACAGAGCGCAGTAAAGAGCACAGCACACAGCACGGCCACGGTAAAGCGGCACAGCACGATGCGCAGGCGCTGAGGCACGAAGCTGGGCGCGATAAAGGCCGCAGCACAGGCGCAGTGACGCAGGCACAGAGCGCGATAGACGGGTGGGCACGTGGGAGCGCATAGCGCTGGCGCAGGCCTGGGCGCAATGGGGCCCAGCACCAGGCGCAGTAAGGTGCGAAGGCCTGGGCCGGACGCCTGGCCTGGGCCGCGATAAAGGAGCGCAACGCACTGATGGAGCGCAGAGAGCACGGCACCAGACGCAGAAAGTAGGGCCAGACCAGCACAGTAAGATGCAGCGCAGGGAGGCAGCGCATAAAAGACGCGCAAGAGCGCAGTAAGGCGCAATGAGCTGATAAGACACAACCTGGAGCACTAAAGGAGCCTGACACCAGGCACAGTGACGCCAGCACAAGGCACACAGTAAGGTGCCAGCAGGCACAGCTTTCAAAGACGCAGGCACAGGCAAGTAAGGAGCGATGGTGCACACCACAGCTGGGCGCACGATAGGAGCCCAGCAGCACCAGGCTGATAAAGACACAGCTGCAGGCACTAAAAGGAGCACAGCACTGGAGCGCAGTAAGGCCCAGCACAGGCCACAGTAAAGGAGTGCTTGACACAGAGCACAATGGGCACAACGCAAGGCGCAGTAAGGAGCCCAGCACAGAGCACAAGACCTGAGCACAGGCACTGAGGCACAGCACCAGAGCCAGTAAAGGCCCAGCCAAGGCACAAGTGGCATTTTGACTGATAGACAACACAAGCCTGATAAGGCACAGCCTGAGCACTAAAAGAGCCAACTGGGCACAGTAAAGAATTTGGCACAGACCAGTAAAGATAAGATGCAAAGCACAGAGCACTAAAACTGCCACAATAATAAGGCAACACAAACACAATAAAACACAACCAAACACAATGCAACACAACACAAACACAATAAAACCCAACACAAACACTAAAAACACAACACAAACGCAATGAGCCAACACAAACACAATAAAATGCCCAAGGCACTAAAACACCAACCTGAGCACAATAAAATGCAGCACAAACAAGCCAGGCCACAACACAAACACAATAAAACACAACACAAACACAATAAAACCCAACACAAACACTAAAAACACAACACAAACACAATAAAACCCAACACAAACACAATAAAATGCAACACAAACACTAAAAACACAACACAAACACAATAAAACCCAACACAAACACAATAAAATGCAACACAAACACTAAAAACACAACACAAACACAATAAAACACAACACAAGCACAATAAAACACAACACAAACACAATAAAACACAACACAAACACAATAAAACACAACACAAACACTAAAAACACAACACAAACACAATAAAACCCAACACAAACACAATAAAATGCAACACAAACACAATAAAATACAAAACAAACACAATAAAACCAAACACAACACAAACCTAACCTAACGTAACCAAGACGTCACGCCTCCATAATCATACGTTTAGTGAATCCTTTCGTGGCCCCGACAACCAGACCTCGATTACCTGACCCCGAAAATCTGTTTCCGACATCCTGGCCCATACAACCTGGCCCCGACAACCTGGCCCAGATAGCCCGGTCCCACTACTCTGTCCCCGATAACCAGGCCCCGACATCCAGGCCCCGACAACCAGGCCCCGTCTACCTGGTCCTTAACAACCTGGCCCTCGACAACCTGGCCCAGATAGCCCGGTCCCTAATCTGTCCAGGACAACCAGGCCCCGACAACCTGGTCCCGACAGCCAGGCCCGTCTGCTGGCCCCGACAACCTGGTACAGACAAACTTGGCTCAACAACCAGGCCCCGACAGCCTGGCCCCCGACAACCAGGTCCCCGACAACCAGGCACTCGACAGCCGCCCCAACAATCTGGCCCCCGACAACCTGGCCCCCGACAATTTGGCACCTGACAACCTGGCCCCGACAGCCTGTTTAACAACTCAGTCTATACAACCTCACCCTGAAAACATGGCCCCGACAACCAGGCCCCCCCCGACAGCCAGGCCTCGACAGCCTACTTCCGACAGCCTGGTCCACGACAACCTAGCCCCGATAATCTGGCCCGGTAACGTGGCCTCGACAATCTGGCCCTAAACAACCTGGCTAACAACTCGGCCTTTATAACCCTCACTCTGACAACCTGGCCCCGACAACCAGGCCCCCAAGCTGGCCCCAACAGCTGGGACCCCGGCAACCTGGCTAACAACTCAGCCTGAACAACCTCACCCTGAAAACGCCCCGACAACCAGGCCCCCGGCACCAGGCCTCGACAACCTACTTCCGACAGCCTGGTCCCCCGACAACTAGCCCCGGTAATCTGGCCCGGTAACGTGGCCTCGACAATCTGGCCCCCAACGTGGCCTCGACAATCTGGCCCCCAACAACCTGGCCCCAACAACTCGGCCTTTATAACCTCACTCTGACAACCTGGCCCCGACAACCAGGCCCCCAAGAAGCTGGCCCCAACAGCTAGGACCCTGACAACTTGGCCCCCGACATCCAGTCCCCCGACAACCTGGCTTCCCGGTGTGTGGATGATTTTTTTTTTTTTACAGTAAATCTTAACTGCATTATCCTGCGTGTGTCTCAGTGAAGCGTTCCTCGGAGGCAGCTGTAGGAGGTTGCCGGGGGGACTTGCCGTAGGAGGTTGCCGGAGGTTTGCCGTAGGAGGTTGCCGGGACTTGTAGTAGGAGGTTGCTGGGGGCCTTGCCGTGGAAAGCGACTGTGGGAGGTTGCCGGGGTTGCCGTAGGAGTCTTCTGGGGGACTGTCGAGGGGCTACCTGGGACTGCCGTGGGAGGCTGCCGTGGAATGCCGTGGGAAATTGGTGTGGGAGGTGCCGTAGGAGGCCCCCAGGGGGCTGCCGGGGAGCTGACGAGGAAGGCTGCCGGGGGCTGCCGTGGAGCTGCCGTGGAAGTTGCCGGGGGTGGGCTGCCGAGGTTGCCGGGGCGCTACTGATGGAGGCTTTTTTTTTTTGAGAGAAAAAGGAGGGGTGAAAGAAGATTAGAGGTGGGGAAGGAAGTTATAGTTCGGAAATTGAATAAATTTTGGGCTGACCGCCTATGGGACCCATTCTGATTATTATATCTACAACAGCTTCCTCATTATCTGGCAGGGTAACATATACAGTAGTTGTTTACAGTGGCTCTGTGTGTGTGTGTGTAGAGAATGATGGCACTGAGGACTCCTACATAGAGACAGGGAGGAGATGGAGTAAATAGAACGAAAATTAGATAAAATTTAAAGTAATGGTTAAGAAAAATATAGAAATGAATCATGGTGGACTGAGATAATGTGGAAAGAAAAAACTTGTGATGATAGGAAAGAGAAGTGGGGACCAGAAAGGAGCTTGTCCTATAGCAATACATATCGTATCATAGCAGTAAGGGATTCAGAGATCATCTAAAGATAAAACACACACCAATTTCACCTGATGATTATACACACCAACGCTATCTAGGGGTCGTAGGTTAGGTTAGGTTAGGTTAGGTTAAGTTATACTTTTACTTCTTTACTTTTATCCTCTTCGCCTCTAATCGGCTCGTTAGCCGCTTGGGCGGTCGGTCACGTCTCGGTTACGCACTGTTGGCAAGTACTGGACATGCACTGGCTCCTGAATGTATCTGAACCTGCTCCAGTGCTGGTCAAGTCTGGTCTTGAAACAGCTCACACTCGGTGCCATCACAACACTCTCCTGCAGGTTGTTCCAAGAGTTCACAACTCTCACTCGAAAAAGTTTGCCCTCCCAGTTTTCTGGACTTGCGGCTTCTTCAACCTTGAGTTGTGACCCTTTGTGGGACGCGCGTCTGCTAGCTCCAGGTATTAACACTATACTGAGTAGTGACCTTTGAGATGTTTATACAACTCAATTAGGTCCCCCCCTGTCCCTCTGTAGTATAAGCTCGGCAGTTGCGGGCGCTCTAGTTTCACTGGATAGCTAAGATGCCGAAGTGCAGGCACCAGTCTGGTGGCCATCCTTTGGTCATATCTTGTGGACCAGACGGGGTGACAGTACTCCAGACGTGGTAGCTCTTCATTCTTGAAGATTGTTTCGAGGGACAGATCGTCTAGATATCCGAACGACCTTCTTATAAGACCTAATAGTTTAGTTGCTTGATTCACCTTCTTCTCACAATGGTCCAAGAACTTCAGTTCATTGTCAACATACACACCAAGGTCCTTTTCGCATTCAGTCTCTATTAATGCAGTTTCTTGATCCCGTTGGCACATATGATATGCTTCCTTACCTTTGGTACGTCCCAAGTACATCCTCTTACAATTCGTGACATTGAATCTTAGCAGCCATTTCTTCGACCATTCTTGAAGCTCACAGAGATATTTCTGCAGCTCTTTACAGTCTGTTTGGTAAATAATTTCCTTAAATCTCGGCATCGTCCGCAAACATTTGTATCGAGGAGTGTATAGTTTCTAGCATGTCATTTATGAAACAAGCAAACAACAACGGGCCCAATACAATGCCCTCTGGTACCCCGTTTGTCACGGGTACACATGACGATTTCGTACCATTAATCACCACACACACTGCTTGCTATCATGCAGGAAGTCTCTGATCCACGCTAGGTCACCTCCCTGAACCCCTTACCCTTCCAGTTTAATTCTCAGCATTTCGTGGGGTACGCTGTCGAAAACCTTGGTAAAATCTAGGTACTGTATATATTGTCGATATTGCCTCCCTGTTCCAGAATTTGGGTCCAAACGTCCAGTACCTTCAGTAATTGTATTAAACAGGACCGTCCTGGCATAAAATCGTGTTGGCAGTCCGATACAAGGTTGTTTCGAAGTAGATGTTCCATCATGGCATCTCTTAAAATGCTTTCAAGTACTTTGCATACTATACTGGTCAGGCTCACTGGTCTATAATTATTTGTGGAGTGACGATCTCCCTTCTTGAAAACAGGACTCACATAGGCCATTTTTCTGTCACTGGGGACCTTTTGCTCATCCAGGCATTTACAGAACAGGATCTTCAGGGGCTCAGCACTCTGGGATGCACCATGTCAGGGCCGGGACTTTTATGAATTTTTAGCCTTGACAATTTATTTATTAAAACCTGTTATGAGAACACAATATGGGTCAGCGCTGTATCACACCGTCTGTCCTCAAACGCATCCTCTCTTGTGAACACCAAGGAAATGAAACTGTTCAACGCCTTGTCCTTGTTAGAATCAGCGTAACTACCATCTTCAAGCCTCAGGTCCGAAACGCAGACTCGCATTTTTAATTTCGACTTTGCGCCGCGGTAAAACGTTATTGGGTTTGACTTGATCTCACTCACAATTCGCCTCTGGAACTCTTTTTCAGCCCTTCTGCACTCTGACTTTGCTTGGTTCCTGGATCTGGCATAAATCCTCCTGTCAACCGCACATGGTTCATGTGTAGCGGTCTCCTCGTATTCCTGGGGCATTGGGTTTGGTCCTGGGTATATATTTATCGATCACTTTATTGGCTATGATATTTAGTGTAGTGTCTGCGCTCTTATACCTTAGTGAGCTATGCCAGTGGATACCCCTCATCTCCTCCCTCATCCCGTCATAATTTTCCTTGTAATATGTGAACCTAGGCCTGGTTTTGTCATGAAATAAGTAACAGTTAAAAATGAAGGACAACGTTACGTGGTGACTGGTGCCTACGGGGGCTAGGTGTTCCAGCTTGGCCACCATACCCTCCTCGTTAGTTATGATGAAGTCCACAGGCTTGGGTGTTTGCTCCTCTCTATAATGAGTCGGGTTTTTAACATGTTGGGACAGAAAATTACCTCTCAGTGTTTCTACAAAAAGAGTAGCGGGGTTATTTAAGTCATTTGGTGTGGTTTTATTTCTTCAGTCGATTTCACCATAGATAAAGTCCCCCATGACAAGGCGGTGGGTAGGGTTGAGCACCGTTGCATTGTCTATTAAGGCTCTTAAGTTCCTTTGCTTTAATAAGCTAAAGTTTGGGGATCTGTAGATACACCCGACAATAAGTAAGTGTATCCCCATTAACTAAATTTTACGCCGCTTTGATTTTTCAAAATCATCCTCTCCCTGTACCTTCACTTGGCTAGCTCTCAAGTTTTGCTTAGCATAGATAACCACACCCCTCTTGCAAGTTCCTTGAGAAAGGTTCGTAAATGAGTCATATTCGTCTATATTGAACTCGCATTCCTCCTGCTCGATTCTCCTGTTCTTGTACAACAGTTCTACAACACCTACTATATCGGGTTGATTTACTTCTAATAGTTTTTCAAACTCCTCTCTCTTATCAAGGAACGTGTCAGTATTAATGTACATGACTTTCAAGCCGGAATTTGTTCTCGGTAACGTCTTTGATTTTGGTGGTGTCTCCGGCCTCCCGCCATTCTCAGCAGCTGCAGCGTTTGCTAAATACATTGTACTCTGTGGGGTGTGGTCAAAGATGACATTGTTTACTTGGCGCTCACCTTCTCCTGGGTGGGAGTTTTTTTTTTTTTTTTTTTTTTTTTTTTTTTTTTTTTTTTTGTTAGGTTAAGGTGGGGAAAGGGTGGAAGGCATGCTGGGGCTCAAGGCACAGCCAGACATGAGGGATGGAGAAGTCACAACATATAGTCGTGGGGGGAAAGGTTGGAAAAGAAGTTTAATGAGTTAAACAGAGGGGGACGACACCCCTTGTTTTACATATTACAGAGTTTGTTGGCTAACTAAGCTAACCTAGGATTTAGAATGAGGTTGCACAATGGTTATTTTAGTAGACAATGACTAGATTGATTTTACAATTACAAGTTTATTAACATCTTATACTGTATTACGTTATGGACTCACTTGATTGTGACTTGTTAAATGTGAATTTATATCATCTAAGTTTTAATCTAAGGTGGATCACTGCGGCGGACATAGATGGATCGCGGGTTGGGTTGTTGTAGTGCGGGCAGACTCCGGGGCCACCAGGCGTGGGGTCTCCCTCCGTTGATGTCTTCCCCGCGTAGGTGGTCTGGGCTGTGAGGGTCGTCCAGGAGCTTGTCCCCACCCTTCTTCCCTAGGCGATGGAACCTGAAGTTGAGGGCTTCTGTTTTATTTCTTAGGTGGATGGTTTCCACTGTCTCCTGGTAGGGTGGCGCTTGGCCACTGGCTGACCTCAAACACTTGTTTTGGAAGCTCTGTAGTTGTTGTAGTCTGGTCTTCCCGAGTGTGACGAGTGGTATAGATGGGTACTCCAACACAGGCCTCACCAGCGCCTTGTACAGGTGAACTTGTATCTTCTCAGGCATCAATTTAAAACGTTTTAATTTGACTGCGGCGACTTTGGCTTTATTTAGTCTGTCCTTCACGTGGGGAATGATGCCCGTCCGAGAATGATGAGGCCGAGCAACCTGCCTTGTTTAGAGTACTGAATCTCTTCGTCGTCGATCATCAATGGGGCCGGCTTGAATTTGGCTATGGGTATGACCTCAAATTTCGTTTTGTTTGTTTTTATTTTCCATTTATTTTCATACTCCGAGATCTCCTCTATTGCCCGAGCAGTGAGTCGCGCCATTCTTGCTGTGGACCTTCCTGGGCAGGTGACGATCTGTGTTACATCGTCGGCATACATGACGTACTCGCTGCCGACGATTGGGGGTGGCAGGTCAGCCGTGTAGAGTGTGTAAAGGGTTGGTGAGAGACAAGAGCCCTGAGGCACGCCGCTCGATAGTGAGAATTCTTCTCCAAAATGTTCTTGCATCTTGATTTTGGCTCTGCGGTCCATAATGAAGTTGCACAGCAGGCGCGTCAGATTTTCGGGTAGCCCCAGTTGTATGATCTTATACTGCAGCCCTGCGTGCCAAACTTTGTCAAACGCCTTGCTGACGTCCCTCAGTACTATATTGCACTGCAGGCGGCCAGTCATGGCATTGGCGATCTGCTCGTAGGCCTGAGCTATGGCGGTGGATGTGCCTCGATACTGGCGGAAGCCGAACTGGCGGGGATTATGCACGTCT